GCCGCATGCGAAGCGGACCGAGCGAGGCGCGTCGTAGCAGAGGTCACACTGGCGCTCCTCGGCCCCAGCCGTCTCCTCCACCTCCCCCGCCGCTTCGACTAGCGCCTCCAGCCGCGGTAGCGCCTCTGCGAGCAGCATCCGCTTCTTCTTCCGCGCGTATGCCAGCCCGACCACAAGCCGCGTCAGCTCCTCGGCCTGCGCCGCCGACCAGCCCGCGTCGGCCGCTGCGATGCTCTCCGCCGTGTCGGGCTCCTCCAATTCATCCTCGCACGCGTTGAGCAAGCCGACGGCGCCGCGGCCGGTCAGGCTGACGAGCAGCGTGATGCCGAGCGCGTAGCCGTCGGTCAGCTGCGAAGCTTGGTTGTCCTGCATTATGATCGGGTCCATGTAGCCAGGCTTGCCAAAGATACGCTGCGTCGACAGGTGCGAGACCTGTCCATTGCTGCCGGCCGTCGCCTCTGCCGCGCGCGCGAGGCCCACGTCGGCGAGGTAGCCGTTGCCGCGCTCGTCGAGCAGGATGTTGCCCGCCGAGACGTCGCGGTGCAGGATCATCGGAGAGAGCGTGTGCAAGTAGTGCAGCGCGCTCGCTGCGTCGCGCAGCACGCGGAGCCGTGCGGCGGAGGAGAGCGGCGGAGGCGGCGTCTCGAAGCCGAGCATGCGGAGCCGCTGCAGTGCGGCTGGAGTGCGGTAGAGGCGGTCCTCGAGGCTGCCGCCGCAGCAGAGGGGGTAGACGAGGCACGCTCTCGCCGGCGCCAAGCAGGCGCCGAGGAGAGGGAGCAGGGACCGGTGGCACGCCGCGCTGAGCGTGCGCACCTCGCTCTGCAGCTCGGCGAGGCCTTGGGCGCCGACACCGACCAACGCCGTCTTGACCGCGAACCCGCAAGCGACGCGCGGCAGCGACGGCAGCGCGTCGCAGCGGTAGACGCGCCCAAAACCTCCCTCGCCCACCTTGCGCGCCTTGGCAAAACCGTCGGTCGCCGCGATGAGCTCGTCGAGAGGGACGGCGGCGGGCGGCGCGGCGGCGGCGGCGAGGGCGGCGACACTCGCCGCCGCCTCTGCCGCCTCTGCCGCCGCTGCCACCGCCTCCGCTGCCGCCTCCGCTGCCGCCGCCTCTTGAGCCTCCGCCGCCGCCACGGCCGCCACTGCCGCCTCCACAGCCGTCGCCTCCGCCTCCGCCTCCGCCGCCGCCACCTCCTCCACCTCCGCCTCCGCCCTCATCCTCGCCTCCTCCCTCTCCCTTGCCGCCTCCTCCCTTGCCCTCGCCTCTGCCTCCTCCCTTGCGCGCGACGCCGCCTCCGCCTCCTCAGCCGCCCGCGCCGCCGCATCTTCTGCTACCACCCGATCCGCCTCCTCCGCCGCCCGCGCCTCCTCAGCCGCCCGCGCCTCCTCCGCCTGCTCCGCCGCTCGCTCCGCCGCCCGCGCTGCCGCCGCTGCCGCCTTCTCCTTCTTCTGCCGCTGCCGCTTCAGCGCCCTGGCCTCGCGGATCTTTCGCTCCGCCAGCTCGTCGCGCAGCCGCCGCGCCGCCCGCAGCGCCTCCGATCCGTCGGCGGCCTGGGTGTTCGCGTTGATCGCCGCCCTGAGCGCCTCGAGATCAGCATCGCCTCGCTCGCACGCCTCAACCGCCTCACGCAGCGCCGCCTCGGCAGCATCGCGCGCCTCCGCCGCCTCCGCTGCCGCTGCCACCTCGCGCGTGGCCGCCGCGGCCTGCTCGGCTGATTCTGCGACCGCCGTCTCCCCCTCCGCCTCTGCTGCGGTCGACGAGTGCTCCTCGAGAGCGCGCACACACTCGGCATGGCCGTTCTCCTTGGCCAGCTGCAGCGCCGTCTTGCCGTTGACAGTGGGCGCCGCGTCTGCGCCCGCCCGCAGCAAGCGCCGCACGACGGTGGGGTGGTTGGGGAGGGCGGCGAGCACCAGCGCGGTGATGCCGTCGCTCCTCTGCACGTTGAGCTCCGCGCCGTGCCGTATCAGCAACTCCACCACCCGCTCGCAGCCGTTGCGGGCGGCGATCATCAGCGCGGTGATGCCGTCGCTCCTCTGCAGGTTGATCTCAGCGCCGTGCCGCAGCAGCAAGTCGACCACCCGCTCGTGGCTTTGGCTGGCGGCGAGCATCAGCGCGGTGTCGCCGCGGCTGTTCTGCGCGGTGTCGCCGCGGCTGTTCTGCAGGTTGATCTCTGCGCCGTGCCGAATCAGCAAGTCGACCACCCGCTCGTGGCCGTAGCGGGCGGCGCCCATCAGTGCGGTGCCGCCGTCGCTGGTCTGCTGGTTGACCTTCGCCCCACACCGCAACAGCAACAGCTCGACCACCCCCAAGTGGCCGAACACGGCGGAGCCCATCAGCAGCGTGATGCCGCTCACCTCACCTCTCTCGTACGTCGCGTCGGCCCGCCCGCCGCCGTCAAACCATGTCAGCACCGCCTCCTCCTCACCTCGCTCAGCCGCTGCCACGACCTCGTCGGAGACTGCCACGACACCGCTCGACGCCCGCCCCGCCGCCACCGCTGGAGATAGCGTCGTCGCGACTCTCGATCCAGCCGAGGAAGCGCCGCCGGAGGAAGCGCCGCCTGCGCCTTCGCCGCCGGCTGCCGTCTCCGCGGTCCGTCCCGCCACGACCGACTCCTTGACGTGCTGCCGGAACGCCTCGACGCACTCGGTGTGGCCCTTCTCCTTGGCCAGCTGCAGCGCCGTCATGCCGTTCTCAGCGCGCGCCGCCGTGTCTGCGCCCGCCCGCAGCAAGCGCCGCACGACGGCGGAGTGGCCTTGGCTGGCGGCGCACATCAGCGCGGTGAGGCCGTTGCTGTCCTGCATGTTGATCTCAGCGCCGCGCCGCAGCAGCAGCTCGACCACCCGCTCGTGGCCTTGGCCGGCGGCGAACATCAGCGCAGTGCCGCCAGCACTACTCTGCAAGTTGACCTCTGCCCCGCCCCGCAGCAACAGCTCGACCACCCGCTCGTGGCCGTAGTTGGCGGCGCCCATCAGCAGCGTGATGCCGCTCACGCTGCCTCTCTCGTACGTCGCGTCGGCCCGCCCGCCACTGTATAGCCACGCCAGCACCGCCTCCTCCTCGCCACGCTCCGCTGCTGCGATGACCGCATCGGGGGCTGCCAAGGCACCGCTCGACGCCCGCTCAGCCGCAGCCGGCGACAGATTACCCGGCCGCACCCGCACGCTCTCGCCGCCGCCCTCGAGCGCCACTGCGTACCGCCCGCCCTCGAAGCTCCGCGCCACGCCCCGCTGCCCGTTCAGCTCGGGGCGGGCAGAGAGCCCGCCGAGCTCGACTCGCTGCCCAAGCAGCGGCGCGTCCACCGCTGCCGCTGCCGCGCCCGAGGAGGCGCCGCCCGCCCCTGCCAGGCCGTCTGCAGCCGCCGCCGCCTCAGCCAAGACCTTGACGCACTCGGCGTTGCCGTTCTCCTTGGCCGACTGCTGCGCCGTCTTGCCGTTTTCATCGCGCGCCTCCGCGTCTGCGCCCGCCCGCAGCAAGCGCCGCACGACGGCGGGGTGGTTGAAGAAAGCGGCGAACATCAGCGCGGTGTAGCCGCCGCTGTTCTGCAGGTTGACCTCCGCGCCGCGCCGAATCAGCAAGTCGACCAACCGCTCGTGGCCGTTGATGGCGGTGCACATCAGCGCGGTCTGGCCTTTGCTGCTCTGCATGTTGAGCTCCGCGCCGCGCTGTATCAGCAAGTCGACGACCCGCTCGTGGCCTTGGCTGACGGCGAACATCAGCGCGAACTCGCCGAAGCTGTTCTGCAGGTTGATCTCTGCGCCGTACCGCAGCAGCAACTCGATCACCCGCTCGTGGCCGTAGTTGGCGGCGCCCATCAGCAGCGTGAGGCCACTCACGCCGCCTCTCTTGTACGTAGCGTCGACCCGCCCGCCGCCATCAAGCCACGCCAGCACCGCCTCCTCCTCGCCACGCTCCACCGCTAGCACGGCCGCGTCCGAGGCGCTCAGGCCGCAAGGCACACGTGCTCTCACCATCGCTGGGTTCCGGCTCTTTGCGGGCGCTCTTTGAGGGGTCTCCCTATATCTCCCCACATCTCAACTTCGAGCACGCGCCGCAGGACGGGGCGCAGGTGGTCTCCCTCGCGTCGCACCTGGCCGAGGCGGGCGAACACGAGGCGGGCGGGCATGAGGCGGGCGAGCACGAGGCGGGCGGGCGAGGGCCGGCGGCTCGAGCGGCGCCGCCACGCCGGCTGCGCTTCGATCGACGTGTCTCCAGAGCTCGGCGCTAAGTAAGGTTGAGGCGGCGCGAGCCTGCGCTGCGGCCGAGGCGGCGGCGGCTCAACTTGGGCGCCGCCACGCGTCCACCTGTCGCACACCCGTCACCCCTTCTTCAGGCGGCGGCCCTCGACCTCGACCTATGGAGACCTAGTCAGAGGCAAGCGCGGGCGCTGCCCAGGATCGCCGGCAACTAGTGCCGCCCGCGCCTGGCGCGACCGCCTTCAAGCGGCCCGTGACTTTGCTCCATCAAACGGGACAAGGCAAAAACACAGTTGCACAGGTACATGCCGGCGGCGCGACTCCCCCCCGCAGATCGTCCTCAGTGGGGGAGACCGCGACACCGGTGACGGAGCGCAGTTGGGAGTGTCTTTGGCTCACGCCAGGGCGCTCGTTGCTCCTCCGTCTCTTTGTATCTTCCATACTGCGTTTATCAGCGAATACGTATGGTTCTTGCACTTGAGACTTGTGCAAGATTGGGCGTCTTCTGCAGCAGTCCCTTTGATGGGAGGTCCCAGGGTGGGGGCCACCTCGAACCCCTGGTCCCTTCGCCGACTGGACGGCAGTGCGCTGCGCTATCGCTCTGTCCCACCCGTGTGTGATCAGTGTCCTACGGAGGGGAGTGTCTTTGGCTCACGCCAGGGCGCTCGTTGCTCCTCCGTCTCTTTGTATCTTCTATACTGCGTTTATCAGAAGACTCGGAGGGAAAGGCGCCTTGTGGACGGTGTGGTCTACCTGTCATGCGGCAGGTCGCTTGCTCTGGTCGCTGCCACTCTTCGGCTCGCTCCGCTCGCTTTGTTGAGATTTGTTGGTTAGTGCTATGCTCACAGCACAGTGCGATATACTAGGTGGTCTTTGTAGCCTCCTTGCGGGGGATGTAAAAAAGAAAAAAGTCGCCGGCGCCCGGCCGCCTCCGCGCGGGCGGGGACCCTGTCCTCGTCCCATCCCTCGTTTGGGCTATGTGTTTTCTTTCTTTCTTTCCGCGCGGGCGGCTCCCTTGGCTGAGAGATCGGAGCCTCGCGCCTCCCTTCCCTCCTGATGGAGCCGGCGCCCATCGGCTACCTCGTCTTCGGATGCCTCAGCACCCTCCTCCTCCTGCTCTGCTTCCACCGCTTCTTGCGAGCGTCGACGCGGGAAAGGAAGACCGGCGGTGTCTCGAACACCGCCCGTGAAGCGAATCTCCCTCGCGCCGTCGAGCTCACCACCACCGTCCTCCCGGCCTTCTTCCGAGGAGGAGCGCCGCCCGCGAACACCGCCTCGGTCAGCGCGAAGCTCGAGGGCGCCGCCGCTGCTGCCCGCCTGCTGCGCGCGAGGGTTCAGGGCGGGCTGCTCTTCGCGGCGGCGTCCTTCCTTATCTGGGGCCTGCCGCCGATCGTCTTCGGCGCGGCGTCGCTGCCGTGGCCCGGCTCCTCTCCACTCGTCCCGTGCAAGGACGCCATCGTGGTCGCGGCCTCGGCGGCGCTGTGCGCTCTGAGGCCCGACGAGGGCCGCGCCATCAGCGCGGGCTACATCTGCGCGGTCGCCCTCTCGGTGGTGATGGCGGTGGCGCACGTGGCCCTGCTGGGCTGGTACGACGGCGAGAGCATGGCGCTCGGCGGCTCCGCCGATGAGAGATGGAGTGACTCCCTCGCCCTCACCATCGCCGCTTCGTACGTCGCGGCCGCCGTGGCGCTGCCGCTGCTCTGGCGCAGCTCTCCGCCGCACGAGCGGCTGCGGCGGCTCATCTCGCCGGTCCGCGCCGTCTTTGCCGTCGACGGGGTGCTCAACGTCACGTATTGGGCGATGCGCACCGCCGGCAAGGCGGGCGACGGCAGCTGCAGCCCGGGCCGATGCGCCGTCGGCCTGCTCACCGGCATGCTGTATCTCTGCTGCGCCACGGTCGTGCTGCACCGGCGCGTGCGCGGTGCCGCCCTCGCCGCGCTGAGCCGGCTCGGCGCGACACGCGAAGAGCGCAACGCGGCGGTCGTCGCCTCGCTCTGCTCGATGGGTCAGCTCTCCCGCGCCGAGGGCCAAGGAACTGTCTAGGAACTGTCTAGGAACTGTCTAGGAACTGTCTAGGTCAGCTCTCCCGCGCCGAGCTGCTGCCGCTCGCCGAGGCCAACTTCCGCGCCATCCGGTTCGACCGGCTGAAGCGAGAGGACCTCGCCTCGGCCCTCGGCAGCGAGGGAGGCGGCGGCCTCGCGGCGCGCACGCAGCCGTGCAGTTTGGGCGCGTGCGACGCCTTCCTCTCTCACAGCTGGCACGACCCCGAGGCGCCAAAGTGGGCGGCGCTCTGCAGCTGGGCGAGGCGCTTCGAGGCGGAGGAGGGAAAGTGGCCGCCGCCACTCTGCCTCGGCGGAGATGACCCGAGATTGGGCCGAGACTTAGGCGGAGGAGGGGCGGCCGCCCACGCTCTGGCTCGACCGCGCGTGCATCGACCAGTCGCGGATCGCCGACTCGCTGCCCTGCCTGCCGGTCTTTGTGGCGGGGTGCGAGGCGCCGCTCGTGCAGGGCGTAGTGGGCGAACTCATTAGGCCCGAGGAGCGAATTCATTAGGTGCAAGACGCTGCTCGTGCTGGCGGGGCCGACGTACGCGTCTCGCCTCTGGTGCACTTCCGAGACACTTCCGAGACACTTCCGAGACACTTCCGAGACACTTCCGAGACACTTCCGAGACACTTCCGAGACACTTCCGAGACACTTCCGAGACACTTCCGAGACACCTCCGAGACACTTCCGAGACACCTCCGAGACACTTCCGAGACACTTCCGAGACACCTCCGAGACACTTCCGAGACACTTCCGAGACACTTCCGAGACACTTCCGAGACACTTCCGAGACACTTCCGAGACACTTCCGAGACACTTCCGAGACACTTCCGAGACACTTCCGAGACACTTCCGAGACACTTCCGAGACACTTCCGAGACACTTCCGAGACACTTCCGAGACACTTCCGAGACACTTCCGAGACACTTCCGAGACACTTCCGAGACACTTCCGAGACACTTCCGAGACACTTCCGAGACACTTCCGAGACACTTCCGAGACACTTCCGAGACACTTCCGAGACACTTCCGAGACACTTCCGAGACACTTCCGAGACACTTCCGAGACACTTCCGAGACACTTCCGAGACACTTCCGAGACACTTCCGAGACACTTCCGAGACGGGCCCGACGTACGCGTCTCGACTCTAGCGCGCGGTGGAGCGCTCTGCCCTCATAGCTAATGATTTGGGGACGGCGCACTCACTCTCGTTCCGGCGCCCGTGCGCGATGGAGCGCGTCACGGGCCATGGCTAACGACTTGGGACGGACTCACTCGCCCTGCGGTGGTGGCGAGCAGGTGCGTGATGGAGCTCTTCACCTTTATGGCGATGTCTGCGGACTCGCACCGCATCTGTGTCGTGCCGCTCGCCGCGGGCGAGTCGGAGGGCGCGAGGCGCGAGGCGCGGCAGCAGCTACTGGCCTCCTTCGACCGCTTCGACGCCGCGCACGCGCGCTGCTTCTTGCCGCAAGACCGCGCCGCGCTCCTCTCCGTGATCGAGAGCACGCTGCAGCTCGACGAGTTCAACCGCTGGGTGAGGTCCGTCTTTCGCGAGCGGTCGCGGCGCACGAGCGGCGCCTCCGCCGTGCCCGTCGAGCCGAGCGAGGAGCCGAGCCAGCTTCTCGAGCCGAGCGAGCTGGAGCCCGCCGGAGAGCCGCCGGGGGGTGGGTCGGACGTCGTGTGACACGTTCGAGTGGCTGCGCCGAGTACGTTGCTTGTATCTTTCCCTGTGTCCTGTGTGCAAACTCAGCTGTTCGATCATCGTTTCCGCGTTGGCCTTCGGCTTCGCCCGCCTCGCCACCGCCTCCCGTTGCCCCGCTCTCGCCGCCGCCGCCGCTGAGCGCTGTCGCTGTGTTGCCGCCGCCAATCCGTTCGCAATCACGTCGCGCCCTCCCGACCGCGCCGGCGCGCGCCGTCGCCGCCTACTCCCTTCCTCCGCCTCGCCATCTCCGCCACTGCCGTCCGCGTCGCCCTCGCCGCCGTCTCCCTCCGCCTCGCCGTCCGTCCCCGCCGCCGCCGTCCGCCTCGCCCTCGCCGCCGCCGCCTCCCTCCGCCTCGCCATCTCCGCCGCCGCCTCCCTTCGGGCAAGCCTTCGCGTCGTCCTCCGTCGCGCCGCCGCCGCCCTCCGCCTCTCCGCATCGCCACCACCACCCGCCGCCTCCCCATCGCCGCCACCGCCCGCCACTGCCCGTCGTCTCGCCCTCACGACAGCCTCCGCCCGCATCGACCTCACCGCCGCCGCCGTCGTCCTCGCCCTCGCCACTGCCACCGTCGCCTCCCGTCTTTGGCCAGGTGGTGGTGGCGAGCTCTCCGAGAAGTGTCTAGGAAGTGTCTCGGAAGTGTCTAGGGAGTGCCGGCCTGGGCGGGCCTAGGGGCGGGCATGCGGGGTAGGACTCGCGCAGAGGCGACCGAGGCTGCACGGAGCTTATGTGCCGTTCTCGCGCTAAATCCCTCGGCGCCGGACGGATGTGACCTTCACAGAAAAACACAACCCCGGACCCAAGACGCACGAGCACCGACAGCGTCCGAAAGGGTTAAGCTCCTAGTGGCGCATCACCATCAGTGCGCCACCGCCGCCTCGGCGAAACCCTCCGCCTCGGAGAGTGCAAGCCGCAGCTTAGCGCGCAGCAGCGCCTCACTGCCATACTCGGGTAGATAGAGCCGGTTGAAGCAAGCCGACGCCGTCGGAAGCCTCTCCGCACCGTCAAAGCGCGTCACCGTGAAGCGCTGTTGTGCGCCGCGGTAGCCCATGAGCGAGGCGAAGCCGGTGGCGGGCGGCCGTGTCGAGCCGGTAGTGAAAAGGAGGAGCTGCGCCCGCTCCTCAGCCGACATCTCGCGGATCGCCTTCCAGAGCCACACGACCGCGTTCGAGTGGTGGTAGTCGGGAGGATTGTAGACCGTGGAGCGCTCCCAGTCGTCGACGTCGATGTTGGGCTGGCCGCAGAGCAATAGCTGGACCTCGGCGATCGTGCATAAGCTGCGGAGGGTAGCGAGGAGTTCCTCGTCGAGAAACACGCCAAGACCGGAGCGGAAGGCGGCGACCTGCGGCCCAACCGCACCAAGGAGCTTGTGCCGAGTGTACAGCTGCAGGTACTCGCGGATGTTGTCTGGCGTGACCGCTTCGTCCGCCCCCCCCGGCTTGAGCTCAGCGGTGCGCCGCCGGTCAGAGGAGCGCTCGTAGACGACCGTCTCGTCGCCGTCCACCTCAAAGGTGAGGCACAGCGCTTCGAGACCCTCTGCCGACATAGAGACGAGCTGTTTCTGCGAGCTGTGTAGGTCGGGGTCGACCAACTCGAGGTCGTCAAAGGCGATCTCATATCCAAAGGCCGCCTTGAGGAAGGCCATGGAGCAGGACACGTTGAGCATCTCCTTGTGGTAGAGGGCCATGCCGGTGATCCGCCCGAGGAGCGCAAAGTAGGAGAGGTGGTCAGCGCCAGCCTCGGCGGCAGAGTTGGGGTTGGGCTGCAGCATGCGGTTTGCGTCCTCGACGAAGAGGCCGCTGTTCGGGTCGAAGATCTCCGCCGTCACCAACCCAAACCACTCGCGGCGCAGAGCATCGCCGTCCGCCGCCTCGCCTGCGTAGCGGACACTCAGCCGCTGCGGCCCTGCCCCGTCCAGCAGGTTGCCAGTGACCTCGTCGACGCCCAGCTGCGCGCAGAGGCCCTCCAGGATGTTGTCGCGGCAGGCGACGAGGGAGAGCGCGACGGCATCGGCGCCGCCGACCTTCGCCTCGAGGCGCGCGTGCAGCCAGGCCCGCTTAACTACGGGTCCCATCGAGGGAGCGACTGCCCCCAGCTCGTGCAATGCCAGTAGGATGTCATCGCGGGGAGCAGCGTAATGAGCGGGCGTGCGTCCATCCGGAGCAGCAGCCGACAAGTTTGCCCCCAGCTCATGCAGCATCCTCAGGCATACATCATCGCGGCCGTCCCGAGCAGCCACGTGGGCGGGCGTGAGTCCATCTGAATCCACCGCTGACAGACTCGCCGCCGCCCCTAGCTCGTGCAGCACCCGCAGGCAGACCTCACAGTCGTCCCACTGGTCCTGAGCAGCAAGGTGAGCTGGAGTGGCTCCATTTTCATCCACCGCCGAGAGACTCGCCTCCGCCCCAAGCTCGTGCAGAGCCCGCAAACACTCGCTGCGTCCGTGAAAAGCAGCGCAATGAGCGGGCGTGCGTCCGTCCGGAGCAGCAGCCGACAAGCTCACCCCCAGCTCATGCAGAGTCCGCAGGCATGCGGCCGTCATAGCGTGGTGGGCGGGCGTGAGTCCATCTGAATCCGCCGCTGACAGACTCGCCGCCGCCCCTAGCTCGTGCAGCACGCGCAAACACTGGCCGCCGTCGCCGACAGGCGCATCAGCAGCGTTGTGAGCGGGCGTGAGTCCACCTGCATCCGCCGCCGAGAGACTCGCCTCCGCCCCAAGCTCGTGCAGAGCCCGCAAACACTCGCTGCGTCCGTGAAAAGCAGCGCAATGAGCGGGCGTGCGTCCGTCCGGAGCAGCAGCCGAGAGACTCGCCTCCGCACCTAGCTCATGAAGCACACGCAAGCACCCTTCATGACCGCCCAAAGCAGCGCAATGAGCGGGCGTGCGTCCGTCCGGAGCAGCAGCCGAGAGACTCGCCTCCGCACCTAGCTCATGAAGCACACGCAAGCACCCTTCATGACCGCCCCCAGCAGCGCAATGAGCGGGCGTGCGTCCGTCCGGAGCAGCAGCCGAGAGACTCGCCTCCGCCCCGAGCTCATGAAGCACACGCAAGCACCCTTCGTGACCGCCATCAGCAGCGTAATGAGCGGGCGGGCGTCCGTCCGTAGCAATCGCCGAGAGACTCGCCTCCGCACCGAGCTCATGAAGCACACGCAAGCACCCTTCGTGACCGCCATCAGCAGCGTAATGAGCGGGCGTGCGTCCATCCGCATCCGTCGCCAAGAGACTCGCCTCCGCACCGAGCTCATGAAGCACCCGCAAGCACCCATCGTGACCTTTCGCAGCTGCAACGTGAGCAGGAATAAGCCCACCAGATGCGGCCTCTTGCAGTGGTTGCCCCACCTCGTGCAGCGCGCGAAGCGCAACAACGCTGCCGCCGCGCGCGGCCACGATGGCCTCGTTCTCTTCCGCCTCAATCCGCCGATTGGTAAGCCATCGGGAATAGGTTACCATGGACTGCACTGAGACTCGGCGCGATAGAAGGGCGGGATGTATGGGTGTATGTGCTGTGCGCCGCAATACGCTCCTGCTGGACGCGTGGACACTTCTACACACACGGACTCGTAAAAGGGTGGGCGACGGCTAGCGCACCACACCCCTCTCCTTAAAATTTCTGTGTGGTGGCGGCGTGCCGTTCTCCCATCCCTCCCCCTTGGGTTGACCGTTTTCTTTCTTTCTTTAGTCATGAGAATGGGCCGGATTGATGGGTAACAGGGAGGGGCTGAGGGAGATCCATGAATGAGACAATGCCACAATGATCATCATCGTTTGTGGACGTCATCTTGCTGCCATCTTGGAGAGCGACAGAGCGCAATGGCTGGTGGCTGATCAGGCCGCGGCGGACGCTGCGCGGAAGCCGGGCGTGCCGCGCCCTGCGGGCAGGGGCGCCGCCGCGGCCGAGGGCGCCGACGCCTCGCGCTCGATGCCTTCCTCAAAAGCGAACCCCTCCTCGGCGAGCCGCGGCAAGCAGTACTCGTAGATGGTCGGGAGTACTGCACAACATCGTGGGCGTTTGAGCGGTATTTGAGGAGCACCGCGACTCTGAAGATGAAGTTCGGCCGGGTGGTCTGCAGACCCCCCCCCCCCCCCGGAGCAGCAGAGGCTCCGTGGGGTCGCAAAGTCGACGCTGGGAGTCGCACTCGTCAAGCCATCGCAGCACCACGCGGTCCGCACGTACCGCCCACATCCCCTCCACCGCTGAGAAGGCGCAAGATCGACCGCCGGGCCGCGTAGTCGTCGTTAAGGAGCGGTTTTTGGAGCCGTACGAAGAGGTCCCAGACGGGCGAACATGCGGTTTTTCGATGACCACGCGCGATCTGCTTTTTGCTAAAAACGGGCCGCCTAGTAGCTAGTGCAGTATCACTACTCGAGTAGTACAACACGTAACCACACTAAGAGCTCCACAACAGCCGGTATAGGCGAGCCCCGGTGGCCTCACCGTCGCCGCTCGCGGCGGAGCCGGCGGCGGACCACGGGCCGGTGCGACCTTTTGGGGGAGAGAGAGAGAATTCTTGATACGAAACCACGACGACACACACCAGTCGACTCGCATCGGTTGCCTCCATGAACGGCGGAGCTATTCTCGCGCCCACACCACACCTGGCTCCAACGTGGACACGCCCATAGCTGGGGACACTACTAGGTCACGCATGGCATCACAGAAGTTTTATCTCTGGGCCCCGAAAGGCATCTCTAGCAGTGTCGTTACACATGCCCCCTCCCCTCCTGGGCGCATGCGCCTCACGTCTCGCCAGAGCATAAGCCCTTGGCGTGTGGCGAGACGAGTTTTTCGCCATCGCAGCGAGCAGCAAGCCGCCCGCCGCAAACAGCCGGAGGCATCGCCACGGCACTGGCTGCGCCGCGGTCCCGCACCCGTCGACGCAGCTCCCCCCGCGGAAGACCGCGCGTAGCAACGTCTTGACGATCGAGATGAGCGTGCCTGAAGCTCGCCCACCTACTGCCCCTGAGAGTTGGTTACGAGTGGGATCGGCTCCCCCCCTTGGGATCGAAGCTTCCACGACCTCGCACCCAACATCTCAGGCGGGATCAGAAGGGGACTCCACACCGGACACCGCCCGGGCACAGCCCCCCTACCCGTCGGATCGCACAGAGGGCCCCCTCGGAGCAGCCCACACACAATCACGCATCGGCAGATTGAGTGCCTGAGTCAGGCAGACAGCACAGACAAGAGGAGAGAGAGGAGAGAGAGAGAGAGAGAGAGGAGAGAGGAGAGGGTGAGGGTGTGAACACACGTGAGGAGTGGGGGAGGGTGTCTGTGGTGGGTTGTAGTCATACTACGTGGTTACAACCACGCGCCCCTCAGGAGCTTAAGGTAGAGCTGAGCGTCCAAGACGCCTCGGTGCCACCCACCGGCGTGAGACCATCCGGATCTGCCTGCCGCGTCCTCCGTACGCAGCAGTCCCCGCGATGGCCCACGGTCCTCCGTCGCCTGGTTGAACCCCCTGCCTCCCGGTTGACCCCCCGGTCCCCGTACACGACCATGAAATAAACTCAAAGTCCACCACAGCCACCAGCCTCCACCTCCACCCGCGAGCCGCCACCGCTGCCGCCCGCGACGCCGCCCGCCGCGTCAGATAGCCGCGACGCGCGCATCGAGTCGCGTCGGAGAGCCGCGCCGCACCAGCAGCAGCATCCTCACCACCAGCAGCAGCAGCAGCACCACCACCACCTCCCGAGAGAGAAGCGCACCTGCCCGACGCCGCCCGCCGCGTCAGACGCTCGCGACGCGCGCGTCGAGCCCAGTCGCACAGCCGCGCCGCGCCAGCAGCAGCATCGGCACCAGCAGCAGCAGCACCACCACCACCAACAGCAACAGAGACAGGCAGTGCAGGCGCAGAGGCGCTCGCAGAGCGGCGCTCAGCGCCGCGCACGCCACGCTGCGGACCGTCGGACGAGCGCACCGTACGTCGGCGGCGAGCCGCGTCGCCAGCCGTCTCGCGAGAGAGCGGCGCCGCCGTGTGCGCGCAGCAGCCGCCGCGGCAGAGGCGAGCCGCGGCGACGTCCGCACTAACGGCGGTTTCTCTCTCTCTCTCTCTCTCTCTCGACCTTTTGGGGGCACTTGAAAATGGAGGCGCCTCTGCAAAAAAATCCACTTTCCCGCGCTGCCGCCCGCACAGTGGTTGCGCTGACGCCCGCACAGCGCGTCACCGGCAGTCATGGCGCCGCCGCTCTGCAGATGCAAGATGCCCGCGCGCCACGCGGAGACGAAAAAGGCGGGCCCAAACCACCGCCGGCCCTTCTGGAGTTGCGCGGCGACAGACAGCCGCGGCTGCGACTTCTTCCAGTGGGACGGGCCGCCGCGTGCGGCAGCAGCCGCGGGGCCGGCGGGCCCGTCCGCGGCGGCGGCGCCGGCACGGCAGCAGCCCGATCGCATCGATGGTCAGTGCGGGCAGTGCCGTGCTCCCGTGGCGTACCTGACCGTCTCCTCCCAGAATGCTCGCGGGAACCAGGGACGGCGCTACTACCAGTGCTCCGCCTGCGACAAGTTCAAGTGGCTGACGCCGGCTGCGACGCCCTCTTCCGAGCCGGCCACGTCCATCAACTTTTACGCGGTGACTGACCGAGAGACGCTCAGCGCGGTGCAGGCGCTGCTCGCGGTGCCGCCGGGCGTACGGCTCGGCGTAGGTCGCGACTACACTGAGCAGCGCGCCGTACCGTACGACTACCTCGAGGTGGCCCACGCGTGGCGCGTCATCAACCGGGAGAAGCAGGCGAGGTTCGACTCCTTTCGACAGGGGCTGACGGCAGCGCCGCCGGTGGCGCTGCGAGAGGCGCACGCCGCCGCAGCCGCGGCGCTGCGGCGAACGCAGTGCATGCGCGGCTCGGTCGAGCCGCGGGCGGAGGCCAACGAGGCGCTGCTGCTGCATGGCACCAAGCCGCACCACCTCCACTCCATCCTGTTCGAGGGCCTCGCCCCCTAGAAGCGGAATCCGTGTTCCTGTCTCCCAACCAGCACTCGAGAGACACGCACTCCGCTGTCTTCACTGTCTTCCTATCCGTTGTCTTCATGCGGTGCTCTGATGAGGTTGGTGTATT